GGCATAGGTTACCGTGCAGTTTCTGAACAGTTGTGGAAAATAGACTTTAAGGGATTAAGGTGTTAGTAAGTGGGGAGGAAATGGAGGTATGAAGACCAATAAGCAGCCCTAAAAATTTGGTATGAAAAGGAAAAAAGAAATAGGGTTCCAGTTTTTATTCTAACACCTTCCCATCTGGGGTTTGGAACAAATAGGCTTCCTGGAAGAACTGGGTTTTGAATGAAGGATTTAAAGGTGAGGAGAGAAGGATAGAATGATAATGTATCAGCCATAAAGGAGGTGAGTTCAGGCCACTAAGTAATGGCACATTTTAAATTAATCTTTGCTAGGATGGGAAAACAGAGGGGGGATTTGAAGGAGGAAATTTGATTGTAGCAAATTAAATGACATGATTAGAAAAGATGAACAACTTTTAAAGAGGTGATGATGGGCTGCTATCATGCATTGACTTTCTAGGCATTTTGAGGCTTATATCTTGAAAGCCAGGAAGACTTTGGAATAATGTTTGAGTCCCAGCTGTGTGAGTGAACTTGGGCAAGTTAATTAACCTTGGTCAGCTGCAATTTCCTCATCTTGAAAACACAGGTAATATTATTTGCCTGATAAGAGTTTGAGAAGCATAAGTAAGACTACGTATATAAAATAGTTCAGTGCTGTCATATAATTAACACTTGGTGTTAACAATGATTATTTATTTTGTTAAATCTCTTTATTGAGGTACGATGTTCAAAAAGCTGTGCCTGTTTAACATATACAACTTAAGGAGTTTGGTGGTAAAAGTATACAGCTATGAAACCATCTCCACAGTCCATGCCATATACCTAATCATCATCAAGTTTCCTTCCTTCTTCCATATGAGTGAGACAACACACTTAAAACCTAAGAGCTACACTCTTAGCAAGTTTTTAAGTGTGCAATGCAATATTGTTAACTGTAGGCACTGTGCTGTAAAGTAGATCTCTGAAGTGATTCTTGTTTTGAAAATGTAGGGCCACCCCAGACTGGAGTTAGAGTTAGTAGTCCAGTACCCCTGGCTTCCTCTGCTTTACAGTGCCCGGTGAAGAACGCTGACCCTGCAGCCAAATTGCTTTGCCACCTGTTTGTTGTGTGATCTTGGTCAAGTTGCTTAACTTTCTGAGACAGTTTCCTCATCTGTACAAAGGGGATAATAGTAGTTGCTTCAAGATGCTATTATATTGAATGAGTTAATATGTAAGTGGTGGGAACAGTGCTTGCCACCTAGTAACTGAAATGCCAACATTTGCCAATGCATAAAAATGATTTTCCTCTGTGTTTTTCTTCTTTCTAAAACCAGGGCATCCAACCCTCTCCTACTCCCATCCAGGCAAGGAGACATCTCCATATCTAATGCCTGCAGCTGTTAGGAGTTAGATCGGTGTCTTGAAAGATGCACAAGAACCTAGTAGGTCTGCCTGGGATGGTCTAGGAGCAAACTGTCCTTTGAGCCAGAAAAGGAGACTAAATAGTCCTTACAGAGAGTCTTGGATTTGTGTGTGATTAATGTGAAATTGACTCTTACTTGTCTATCTTGGTTTTGGCTAAATTAGGAAATGGAGGATTTACTGGGAAGCCCTGGGAGGTGAGGCCATTTTGGGAAGCCAATGCTGGGAAGATAAAAGCATGTGTTGGGGAAGGATCACCCAGTGCCCTTCGGTTGCTAACTGGATTGCTTTTGTCTATAACTGGAGTTTACACAGTAGTAGTTTCATCCACTCACCTAAAGATGTGAAATTTTTTTACCCTCAAATTCAGATTTTTAGAACCCTTTCCCCCACTCCAATCAATTCAGACAATTTTTTTCTGTTGACCTTTTATTCTTGCTAAGTGATGACTTTGGAATTACAAAGAATGTCTAATGGAGGATCAGTCATTTTTAAAACTGTGCACACTTTCACCACTTTGTGAGGATGTGTCCATAAAATGGACAAAGTGGTGCCTTTGCTCCAGTGATTACTCTCCCCTGATGACTTAGTTTCATTCCATCTTCTCTTCGCCTTGAGAAATGTACCTTTCAACAGTCTGAATATGATAAAGCAACTCCTGGCAGGTATCAGATCTCCAGGACTCCTATGCCTTCCCCTGACAGGTGGACCCTTGACTCTGAACCACTCAAATGATGTGGGCTTGCTTCGTATCCCCATGACATCTGAAAGTGAAAGAATAAAATGCTACAGCAGAAAGTGAATGGCTTTCCAGAGTCATAGAGGAATGGCAGGAACCAGAGCCTCTAGTCTTCCAAGAACAGGTAGTTTCCCAGAGAGAAAATGAGGGTTGACATTCAAACACCATTGCTTAGGAGCCAAGCTGGTTCTATATTTTAGTTTTGGGGTTCTTTGCCTTTCTAGATGTGTGGTATTTGTACAGTTGATTTTCTATGTTAACACCCTGGTGCTGTTCCCCTGGAATGGGAGCCTCCCTGGTGGCTTTCTAGAAGAGTCACAGCTTTCCTTTTCTATTTTTCCTCACTAGAATAACAAAAGGAATACGGATGTTTATCTTGACCTTGGGGTTTACCCACAACTGTTCTGAATTTTGTGACACCATAAAGGTGGCAGCCCAGGTGGAGACTTACAGCTGGAGCCAGAAGTGTCCCCGTGATTCTGAAGATGCACCCTCCAAACTGTACATGGAGTCTGTCCTAGTAAGGGAAGAATGAGACATCAGTTGTGTGGTTATTAGGAGCATTGCAGGACCACATAGCCTAGCCTACTAGGAATGTCCCTGGTAATTTCCATCCATGATCAGACACTTAGGTGCAGTCATCCTATTCCATGTATGTTCACTGTTATATTGTCCTCAAGCTAATTTCACAATGCCTACTTCTTGTTCATATTGCATGACTTTCACTTAAATAGTCTTAAGATTTCAGAGAAGGAAGGCACGTTTCTTACCACAGAATATAGTAAAAGGCCTCATGTGGGGAGCAGAATAAAGTCTGCCTTTGTCGGATGGGGATAGTTTTTGTGGAGTCACATGATGAACTTCATGTGTACTCTTGCTTTCAGTACGTAATGAGGAGTGTTACATGAACATGCACCTCACCCTCACATAGGCAGCCCAAGCACTCAAACCCCTTCTGTGTCTCTGACCACAGGGAAAAAAGATTGCAGATGCTTATTTTTGTATAGATCCCATGTGGTACTTTTCAGGAGCAAATATTTTAAGATTTAAATGTCCTGTTTCCAGGAAGGGATTTCCCATTTATAGAAAGGGGTGGTTTATGAAGTCTCATAAACTTGAATGTACAGTTCACTGTAATAATATGGTTAGCATCAAGTGGTAGGGGCAACATTTCCTGTCTGCATCAGAGACACGAGTCCTAAAATACTGAAAGAGCAATTGCAGTTGCATCCTGTGTCAGTTTCTGTCACTGTGACAAAATACTTGAAACAAGCAAGTTATACAGAGGAAAGGTTTATTTTGGCTCACAGTTTTAGGGGTTTTAGTGCCTGGCTCACTGGCACCATTGCTTTGGGGTCTGTGACAGATAAAGCAGTACACCATGGGGAAATGTGATATAGAAGGCTGTTCCACTCATGGTGATTGGGAAGGAGAGAGAGGGAGAGGGAGAGGAGAGAGAGAGAAAATAGGGTAGCCATATCTCTCCAAGGACAAGCTCTCAATGACCTAACTTCCTCCTACTAAAAGTTCCACCTGCTCCCAATAGCACCACAGGCTAAAGGCTTGGCTAACAGCCAAGCCTTAACACATGGGCTTTTGGGAGACACTTATGCAAATATACCTGTGGAATACCCATGTAAATGGGGGAGGAGGCAAAGGGTGTAGTTCTTCCCTCCCTCCCCAGGGGCTGGGGTAGAGGGGGAGCTCTAGGATTTATTGACTATATTATGTGACAGCGTCTTTGCTAGAGGCATCACAGACATTTTCTCACTTAAAGCAATCTCACAAGGCAGGAACTGTTATCCCTGCTTCATGGAAAAGGAAATCAAGGCTTAGATTATTGGCAAGGTCACAAAAATAAAATCAGAGCTGTGTGCTTGCTCATTGTGTCCGATGGTCCCTTGGTGGGCAGTTAAGAGAATACAGACCATCAGTACTGTCACACAGAATCTTCTAGCATCCCGCCAAGGCTCCACAGGACCATTGCTTCTCTGCTGCTGCAGGAGGGAAGTTTCTGAAAGAGCACAGCCAATACTCATACTGGCCCATGGCCTGATGATAAGCCAAACACATTTCCCATAGTTACTCTAAGAATGGAGTATGTTTTAAATAAGAGTCTACCCAGTGGGCTCTCAAAAATTTGTTGAGAAATTAAATCCATTTGACAGAGTTGATGACATCCTCTATACTTTGTGCAAGATAAATCATATAGAGTACTTCTGCTCAGTTACACCAACTTTCCCAACTAATCTTTCTGGGGAGTTGTATTGTTGGGATCCCCCACCTCCCACCATGTTATAATCAAAAGAAGCTATCCTTATTCCTGTGGCCAGAGAGCAATAAGCATTTTTATACCATTCTCCCTCAGGGGGCTGGTTTTCTTTTTATGTCAATCACACAGGTGATTCTACCATGTCCTGTAGAAAATAGTCATGGCTCAGTTATGCCAAGCAGGGCAGAGCCATTCTTTTAAAGAGCACTGTGAATCTAGCCATTTATAGTTTGTAGTCATGTTTCATAGGGAGGGATTGGTTTTTCAATTAAACCAAGTGATCTAATTCTATGCAGACAAGCCTGTATTCTATAACAGTAATTTCTAACAAAATTGTGCTTTCATCTCAGTCACAATGTACGATCACAACTGTTCATAATGGCACTGTATTTCAGCCTTGAAATGCTCACTGGTTATTATGAAGAATTATTTCCCTCCAGCCCTGCTTTTTCATTCTTGGGGTGACAAAAAGTTCTGAAAATAATAATCTATGTGTAGTCTGATTCAAATGATCCACATCTCAGCCTTCATATATCCACCCACATAAATAAGATAAAAGTACAGATAGGCAGAAAAAGGCAGGGAAGAAAGAATGAGGGACATGTTTATTGACACTTAAATGGAACATTGTTCTTTTTTAGGACTTAACAGCAGAGTGTGTTAAAAGGCTGGTTACAAACTCTAAAATAAGGATGACCTGCAGTTCATGAAGAGACTCCTTATCATGATAAGGGGATAGAACCATTTAGCCCCAAATAAATTATTGATTCAATTTCATTTGTATTTAGATTTATTTCCTATAAACAATACTAATATTTGCATTTTAAATTCACATGGAATCAGTGGTCACTGTGAGGTTTACATGTCAATTCAGAATCTTTCCTCATAGATTTCAGGTCCAGCTGGTCAATATTGAGCATTGATTTACTTTTCTGCTATCTTTGGCACAATTTCTTGTTTCTTTTAAATATAAAAGTACAGGTTTAAGCTGGCTACACAATACTGCAGAAACATGACTTTTTGGATGTAAGTGTAAGTACAAGTTTATGTTAAGCATTATTTACAAGATGAGAATTGAAGCACAAACTTTAATAAGCTATCTTCACTTACAGAATGACTAGCAGAGGTTTTTAATGAGCAGGGCCAAGATTATGAATTAGAACAATCCTTTCTGGAGGAGGCAGGACAAGTGTTATAGGATGGAAGAATATCCCCTGAACCAATGTCTCATGTCATGGGATTTGCTCTGCAAAAAATCCAGGGTAAGAACAGCTTTTGTGCATGGTGGCTTATTAACCAATAGAATCTATTTTAAAATACAACTTAGCTGGTAGCTTGCCAGTGTCATTTGGGCCCTGACAGGTACAAAAGTGTAAAGGCAGAAAAATACTGGCCTTGTTAAGTGGGTGTGAGTGAACTTGGAAGAATGAAGCCACTGCTGAGTTGGATACAAGCACAGCCAACCTTTTTGAAGTGACACCTTTGTGTATCATCTTATGTAGAGCTGGTATGGACTCCTTCCAGGCAGCTTGAGTCTGGAAGTTGTAAAAGAATGGCTATGCCATCCTGGAGTATCACCAAAATATAGCTCTGCTTTAGGGGCAGATACACAGATGTGAAACAATCCGACAACATGATTTCTCATTCTAGTACTCCTGAGAAAGGAGTTCCAATAAGGCCCGAAGCAGACTTGGGTTGGAATTGTAGTTATTCAAGTACAAGGAGAACTCCTTTTTTCACATTGAGAGTTCAATCCTGATTATGTCTTGCAAATTATATGAAAATAATAAATATATATATACACACACATATATATGTATAGTTCTATACTGAACACTGGGTTAACAGTTACCAGTGTCCCAATACAGTACATTTAAAAAAGAATCCTCCCTTATCCCTGAACCCTATGTTCATCTTAAAACTGTTATTGTGGAACTGTGCTGGTCTTTTTTCTTTTTTTAAAGTGGTTTCTTTTAAATTTGCTGGAGATGAGTTCAAAATGGACAATTTGGCACATTAATTAGATGGGGTTGTTTAGATGCATTAAAATTTATAAAAAGTGAGCAGTCAAAGGAAAGCCACACCAATAGAAAGCCTGAGTAAAAATTTGTAGCCAATGAGAGAATTTCTTTTTTAAAACTCAAGATACTGGTCTATACATGAGAAAACAATTTCCCCTCCACTATTACCTAGTTCCAACACTTTATGCACTTTCAAGTTTTGTCTGAAAGGGTTTTTAAAAGCCAGAAAATACAACTTCTTTTTAAGACTTTTTCATTTTACCCCATCCCAAATCTTAAAACTCAAGACAGCAAAGGCTTATCAAGCCAAATATAGAAAATAATCTAGAGGTCTGTATATCAAACTAAATGTACAACTGATCATTTTTTGTTTTTCTCCTAAGTGTCTGGATTCATTAAGAGATGACTCTCATGGAGATGTCCTTCATTACTCCAGTCATCTCAAGCCAGGGCTCTAGAACTGTGAGGTTTGGGTGAATGAGATGGTGTCAGACTTGTCTACTGCAAAGCCTCCATTGACATAGGACTTCTTGGTGTCTGAGTCTTCATTATCAAGTATCGTAGATTCCAAGGCAAAAGGATTCACAATGTTAACTTCAGATGAAACGTCCATCTGCTCCAGCTCCTTCTTAGACAGCTTTTCCACGATGCCAGTCCCAAATGCATCACCGAGGACGTTGACCATGGTCCTGAACCGGTCCCTACGGAGAAAACAGGAGCATTAGAGCTCAGATTTCACTTTCCTTCATCAACTGAAGGAAGGAAAGGACTTGACTTGTTCAGTTCAGATTTAAGCCTGTGCAGAAAATGCTGCTTCTGGGTGGCTGACGACAGGCACCTCACAGGCCTGAGCCAAACGGCCATTCATAAAGGTAAAAAGTGAACAAACAGGGCCCACCAGATCTGTGCTTCCAATAAGTAGAGCAATGACTTCCCTAAATCTCCTGTAATCTTCTTCTCCTCCCCCAAGAAATATGGACAGAGTCTCCACAGATATGTTTAGGGGACAAAGGAGGCTCAGGACTCGTTTAAATCTTTTAGCCCTAACCTCTGTATTGTGAGTTTGTTACTCAGTTGACCTTGTGGGCTCTCCTCTGACTAAGGTGAGAACCTGGATGTTGTGTGGGTGGTGTATGTGCCTTGTGTGTGTTTTTCTGGTTTGCTTGTTTATCAAATGAGGTCACAGCGAGCAAGCCAGCAGGGACATGGCAGAACATGAGTCGGCCCCATGGCAGACCATGGGGAGAAAACACAGGTCCGCCCAGGAATGGACTTCATGAAATGACTTCATCCAGTCTGAACTCCCAGACAGCCCAGAGAAGAGGCTGATGGCAGGTAGAGAAGGATTACAGCAGAAAGGAGCATCTATTGGGACAGGGACATTTGCTGCCAAGAACTATGGACATGGGTATTCTTGTGAAAACGACCTACAGGACAGAAAAGGCCAACTATGCCCACTTGGGTCCACTCTGGATGCCTTTCTGCTATTTAGACCAAGGCTAGGCATTGAACTAGCCCTAGTGTCTTCTTATCTCATGACCTCAGATTGCAGTTTGACTTATCTGGCTGTCTTGGCAGTGAAGGTCACTGGTTCCAGGAAGGATGAGGGAAGGGAGAAGGGAAAAGCCACCATTACCACTGGAAAGAAAAACTAAAGCTTGCCTCAGTGGTAGGGTTCTTTTTTTTTTTTTTTTGCAAGAACAGTGCTACCTCATTTGGGCCTTAGATTCCTGTCTAGCTGCAGAGGGGGCCTTGCATGGCACAGCTTCCAAGCCAGGCTCAGAGCTTGAGGTTACACCATCCATCTCTGCTTCTCTTTCCTCCATCTTAGCTGCCATCTGCAAACTACACAGTCCTGGACTCCCCAGTCAGCCTAAGCTAGATCCAACAGAAGTTCACTTGGAGTTACATGTACCCTGATGCCAGAATCAAGGCCAGACCCGGGTGCTGGAGGACCAATGACCAGAGGTGGGCATCAAAGAAAAGCCAGGAACCAGGCTAGTTCCAACTTTAACTTAACAAAAGATATATTCTGACTCAGATGTTCTGCTTTCTTTCCTATCTGTTTGTATGTGGGGTAGGGGTGCACATGTGTATGAATACAACAGATACACAGAAAAGAAATGAAAAGAAATGGTTCAATTCATTCTAATCATAACAAAAAAACCTCATATAATGAGCTTCACTGTCTGTCACCCATAGTTCTAGACACTGACTCACTGGAGCTCACTAAGTCCTTACAAGAAGCCAAAGATGCAGGCAGAATTTCCCTCATTTCACAGATAATGCTCCTAGACCTCAGAGAAGCAATAAACTTGCTGAAGGACAAAAAGCTAGTAAGACACTGAGTGGGAATTCACACCTAAATCAGTCTTATCCCAGAGCCTCTGCTCATATCACTGCTGACTCCAAAGATGCACTGGTTTTCAACTTGGTGGCTTTAAGTCTGTGATGCCAAAGCAGGGCTGGGATAAACTGAGATAGCTACAGTGCCTTGCCCAGCTCCTTAACTTTGTTATCCATATTTATCTTATCCCACACCCAGGTCCTAACCTTTAGCATTACCAGGTGTAATGGGAGATTAGAGCGCACTGGTTTTTTAAAACCAGTGTTCCAAGTAATGAGGAGTTAAATTTTAAACATGGTATAAGATGACCTGATCAGAGGGAAATTAAAGAAGCAACAGATGGCTCATTAGGCAACTGGAGAAGAGAATGATGGCAGGCTGCAGACTCTGCATGGCTAGGAAGCTGCTCGCCCATTCAGCTGAGGCAGGGCATTTATTCCAACTCACAGGAGCCAGTCAACGGCGATGATCAGGGTGACATCCTCAGCAGGCAGACCCACAGCACTCAGCACGATCACCATGGTCACCAGGCCAGCCTGGGGCACTCCCGCAGCTCCAATGCTGGCAGCTGTGGCTGTGATGCTGTAGCCAAAACACACCAGCAGGAAAGAAGTTAGACCCCTATTTCTTTCTTTGAGGCCCCTGGCCTGAAAGTTAATCTTCACAGCAATTACTGCCGCATCCCCAGTTAGGCCAGTCAGAATCTGTTTTCTGCTGAGCACTAGCTCTGCCTAATTAGAAGATGAGAGCAGTAGGGGGCTGAGAGGAGATGGTGCCACGTGCTGGGAGGAGAGAGGAAGTAGAGAAGAGCTGCAAGGAGTGGCGCCAATAAACCAGAGAGTTACTCACGGGTTTATCAACTGGGTATTTTTAGAAGGGTTTACCTACCTGTCCATGCATCCATCCTAATTAAAAACATTTTGTAAAATTAATTAAGTTTATTGGTACATTTTAGGTCTACATGATCACATTCATCACAGGGAATTTGTACCTGTACATGATATATCTTGATTCTTTTTCTCCCCATTCCCTTCTCCTCCCTTCAACCCCCCTTCCCCTCCTTATTTACAAAAGCTTTGGCATCCATCCTAAATTAAAGCCAGGTACCTCTCCATACGTTTTCTTCCTCCCTTCTTCCACCTATTCACCTGCCCTATTATATGCTGAGCATCCAATGTGTTCCAGGAATTTATGTTGCCTTGAAGGATGAGTAGAGGGACAGTGGTAGGGTGGAGGGACAGGTGTATCAGGTGAGGGTAAAGGAATGTGGCAACGCTTGATTAGGTTTTATGCACTTTCTGGACATCACAAGAGTCTTGACCTCTCTGACAATTGCCTTTGGGGCACTGAATTGAAAGACAGAATACTCCTGTCCAAGGTATAAGCATTTATTTTTGCCTGCTCCTTTCTGTCAGTGAATGCATTGTGTACAAAAGGAAGAGAGATGTGGAATCCAGGAGAGGCAGCCACATGAACTTTATTACCATGCGTTTAGAAAGATCCCTCTTGGGCAGCGAAGATGTAGCACTAGGGATTTTTCTCTTTGGAATGTGCAGGCTTTTTTTAAAAAATCAGTAACAACTTTATTATTGTAATTGGAGTTTTGGAGGAAATCAAGGTTCATGATGCCCTGAAAAATCCTTCCTCTTGGAAGAGCTTTGAGAGGACACACACAATACATTTAAAACCACACCCTCCCCCTTGGGCCAAGGCTTGCACTGTCACGGTGATGCTAATGGGTTGAAGGGTTAAGATGTAGAAACTATCCATTTAAACTAGAAATCGCCCTAGTTCTATGCACAAGACCATATTCCTGTGGGCTCAAAAAGTCCCTGAGTTCTAAGGAAGCTCACTCTCCTGCCCATTCATCTGCATAATGATGTGTCACAGAGGCCACCTGAGGGTACAAATTCAGGCTCAAGTGTGATAAGCATGTTTTCCTTCAGTGCCCATAGCCATCAATTTATAGTAAATTAGAGATGTCTACGGCTGTACCAGTTTCTCTAAAAGTTGTGTGTTTGCATAATCCTTTGGACATGTTCTCTTCGGCCTAAGTACTCTTTGGAAAACCCAACTTTATTTCAATATGGACTGAAAAGAAATTTAAATCGAATGCATCAATAGGTTTTGTCAGAAGTGATTTGTGTTCAGGTCCGCTTATCTCTCTTGGAAGCCTCCACACATCATAATTAACCATGTCCTATAGCCCAAAGCTGGACTTGAAACTCAAAAAATCTATTTAGTTAAAGAAAACTCTGCCTTTGACCCTTGACCTTGCTTGTTAAACTTCCATCTGTTGCTGGACTGGCTTTGGTCTGAAACTCAGAACTATAAATTTTCAGGTAAGGTAAAAAATTCTAAAAACCTGTTCCTGCTTCTGAACATATTCTATTTTGGCTGAGAGGGTTTTTTGGTTTCTAAGGTACGAAATTCTTTCCTAGTACTGAGGCCTAGTTTTAACTCGGCTTTCTAAACAGGCTGAAGGCTGGGCTGTGAACTGGAATGAACACAGATTTTAGAGTCAGACATACCTGAGTTACAGTCCTGGCTTTGCTGTTTTACTAACAGAAGTAACTTAGGCAAGTTACTTCTCTGTCTCAATTCCTTGCCTGTAGTATGAGGATACTATGTCTACTTTGCAGGGCTGCTATGAAGATTAATCCATATATAGGCCATCTGGGGTAGCACCTGTATGGTAATTTAAAATGTATTACCTCTGCTGCTGCTACTTACGCTACTATTGCTGCCACTGCCAGTGTTACTACCACCACTACAACTTTAGCAACAAGCAAAACAACTACAGGTTGAAGAGCCCTAATTTAAAGTTTTCACATCCAAAATGCTCCAAAATCTAAAAGTGACGTGATGGCACAGTGGAAAATTTTATGTCTGATCTCATGTGATAGGCTGCAGCCAAAATTCAGGTGGTGCTAAAAGACAAAACAAAACTATAAAATTACCTTAAGGCTGTGGGACCAAAAGTGACTCCATTTTGTGAATGTGGGACCAGAATGACTCCATTTTGTCCAAAATGAAGCAGCCTCCTTTGTTCTCTCAAATTTGTGCTTGAACTGGGACAAAG